ACCGGGGCCCTCTGGCGTTCCAAGCCAGCTCTTAACCATTGTGCCACTCGGCCGGCCCCACATTCTATATTTTTATTTGCTAAACCTGATAACCCTTCCAGAGAAGTGTAGGATAAGTCCAAGATAACCCAGCTGGAAGAGATAGAACTGGGATTCAAACTGATCTTGGCTCTATATCTTTGTTCTCATCCATTTCAATATGCTACCTCACAAATAGAAACTGTGACTCCAATGAGTGGTCGAGTTTGGTACTTGCCCATCCAGTCCTGGTGGGGGGGCAATGAAAAAGAGCATTTGTATCTATGAAACATTATAATATGATGCTCTTCTATTTCTTATATAAAGCACACTTACTTTTGAGAAAGGAACAGCTCAAAGACATCAGCATCCCTCTTATGGCCACATATCTTTCGTTGATCTTCAACTGCCTGATAACATATAATTAATCTGTCAAGGCACATTCCACTGAGCAAAAACACTGGGACATTTGCAGTCAATAACAATAACGTCTACAAGAAGATCAAAGGAAAGGTGAATATGGAGGCAACCACTCTAAACTGATAAATTCCAACACTACAATTATATATTATTTAATCATTTTGTGGTTGAATTTCATTACCCTTAATCCTGGGCACAGATGTGTAAATAATTTTTAATCAAAGAGAAAAAAAATGTGTATGTGTATGTATATATCAAAAACAAGTTTTCGATTCTCTATGAGGTAATTTAGTCATTAAATATTCTTAAATGTTCCTTCAAACACAAGGAATTCATATTTGGTAGGTTTTCTATATTTTTAGAAGACACTCAGAACCAAGGTTGGAGGTGAAGGGAGTAGAATGTAATGTACATTATCATATGGGTGCCTGGCACCCTGTAAATTTTCAATAAATGTCAGACAAATAAATGAGTGAGTGAAAAAATCTTATTCCCCTTTCTTTGCAAAGGAATAGTGTCTTCATTTTTTATGAGTTACTAACATACTTGCACTGTGGGAATTTTTGGTGAAGAAGAAGCAATTCTGATTCCCATAGGCTTTGTTTTGAAAATACAAGCCCAACAACAGCTAGTTAAGTGCTTTGCTTTTTCTTTTGAGGTCCCTCGCTAAATTACAAAATAACATTTAGTAGGCCATGTGGCCTAAGATTATATGTAAAAATTAAAGCCCATCTATAATTTGCCATGAAGGAATAAAGCTAACAAGACATAACAAAAGTGGAAAGCATAATTGTCGCACTTCTGGAATCTGACAAACATTGTAATTATAAGAGTCAAAATAATCACCAAATTTAAGCTAGGATTTGTTGTGGGTGGTGAGATTGTAATGTCAGTAAGTGAACTATGAAATTTTGACAATGGTTTTATTATTTAGTAGAGGGCTTTAAGAAGAGTTAAGATTTAATGGGATGAGCAAATATCTAAAGAAGTGATGAAGGTAGATATCCTAGGGATGGAGAGCAGCTGCTAAGTTGTTGTCTTGACCTCTCTTTGTTAGTTACCCTATGACACCCTCTTGAATCTCCAGGCTTGGACAACTCACTGGCTCAGGTATAAGCAATTCCATCAGGGTATTTCATTGTCCTGACAAGCAAGCTGAATCTGGGGCTTGGGAAAACCCGATGGATTAGGCTGCCATACTGGCATCTGGGTATTTTTAACTGAAACAACTAAACTCTCAGCTTCTACCATGCACCGTCAATCACAATTTTGCCACAGTGTTTGGGATGTTAAAGGCCAAAGAAAAATTAAAATTTTGCAGCTATCTATTAAAATTATACATGTGCTTTTAACTGGAACCCACCATTCCACATCCAGCAGTCAGAAACACAGGGGTACGTACACACACGCAGAAATATGAATATCATTTCATTTCAGCATACATTGTCTGTAGTTGTTAAAAATGCTCCATTAATTGCAATATGGTTTAAATTAAGGTATAACTTCATAATACTATGCAGTATCTTAAAAGCATAGAGAGATTGGATATCTACACATACAATGATGTCAGAAACATTTTTAAGCAAAAATGTCATTGGCAGCACAATATACATAAGTGTAATAATACTTTTGTTACTAATGACATTAATATGCATACAAAATACACATACTCCAAATTGTTAGCCATAGTTATCACTTGAGATCATGGGGGACTTTCACTTTCTAAGCAATACCCTTTTTAATAATGGTTGACTATTTTATGAGAAGACATTAATCAGAAATTAATACACATCTTGAACATTTTACATGGACTGAATATTTAATGCATTAAATCAAATTTTGATAATTAAGAGACAAAAAGGAAATTGAAACTATCAGCATAATATGTAAATCACTGGTATAATTAGTTATTTATTTACACAGCTTTTTATCATGGTGTTTTTCTTTCCAACCAAATATTTTCGTATAAATCTGGTAACAAGTATTAATGTCAAAGTGCCAAAGAAGAGGAAAATGTGCCAAGAAGTTTCAAGTTTCAGTGGATCCGAGGTGGAGCAGTTCCAGTTCCCAATCAACACACAACTTCAATAGCAGAATGTTCCTTTCATCTAAAGCAGCACAACAAGAATTCTTCCCCTGAACTATTTCTTTTATTGTGGTAACATACACATAATACAGAATTCACTATCTAACTGTAGGGCTCTTTGGCATTGAGCACATTCACACTGTGCAACCATCACCACCATCCATCTCCAGAAGTTTTTCATCTTCCCCAAATGAAACTCTGCACCCATTATAAACACTAACTCCCCATCTCCCCTTTCGACAGCCTCTGGCAACCACCCTTCTACTTTCTGCCTCTAGGTACTTCATATAAATGGAATCATACATTTATATACATTGTCCTTTTGTGGCTGGTTTATTTACTTAGCATAATATCTTCAAGAGTCATCTATGTTGTGGTGTGCATCAGAATTCCCTTCCTTTTTTAAGGCCAGATAATATTCCATTGTATCCATGTAGCACACTTTGTCCATTTATCCATCAACATACTGAGTTGCTTTCACCTTTGGGCTTTTGTGAACAGTGCTGCTATGACTATGACTGTATAAATATCTGTTTGAGTCCCTGCTTTTGTTTTGTTTGAGTATATAGTCATATGCTGGGTCATATGGTAATTCTATGTTTCATTTTTTTTTTTGCGGAATTGCCATACCATTTTCCACAGCAGCTGCTGCATATAACAGCATTCTTTCAGATGAACATTAAAAAAATGTAGGTCCAAACAGATAATTCAGCCATGTATTGAATGACAAATTATGGAGTGCTTAGTCCAGGCCACGATTAGTCTGTGACTAGCTAGTAAATGTAACAATGAACCTGGTAAGGTGACAGCTCTCTAGGAGCTAACCTCTTAGTAGGAAAAGTAAGGGACATAGAATGCTGGAAGAGAGGGCTGTAAGTGTTAAGGGCTATGACAAAAGGAAGATCTGCTCTGGTGAATTCAGAAAAAGAAAAAAATTACTGTTAGCTTGGGAACGCTGCGATTTCAGGGCAGGACTGACAATTGGGTTGGGTTTGAAAGGATGAGGAGAAATTAGAAACAGAATATTGATGGGTGGGCATTTTAGTTAGAGAGGAGTATGGACACAAAAGAGAAATGAGGGAAGAAAATGCGAGGCGTGCAGAGCTGTACAGTCTTTGGCTTCAGGGAAAGGCATGTGGAAGGCAACCGTGAGAAATAAATGAAGAAAGCTGGATTGGGGACATAGTATTGGGTTGTCAGAGAAGTCATGATGCATTTTTGCAATGAAAAACATAGAAAAAATACGTCATGACTTTTCTGACAACCCAATATTTTTGCTAAGCTTGAAATTTAGGCTCAGGTGTATGTACCGAGTTTATCAACAAAACTTTTCTATGCCTGAGCACTCTAACATAAAATCACATAGTTTATGACATCTGCCATTTAAAATTAATTATATAATATATTTACATATATATGCACATATCGCATGATAAAATCAGTGTAAGTCCAACAAAGCTCTCATTTTTCCCATGACAACTACATCAATGGTTTTAAACAATATCCAAAAATCAATTTCTTTTTAAATCGTTGGACCCAATTCTGGGGCAATAGGGAAATAGTACAGGATTTTGAAATTGGAGAAAAGATGTGACAAAGCGAGGCCTCGGGCAGATAACGTGCAGTAACATGTATGATGGCCTGGGCTGCCGAGGGAACTGCACGCAGGAAGCAAGGCTGCCTCTGGAAAATCAAGACCAGTGCTGATGAGCCTGCCCCAGGAGAGTGACAAGAAGGAATGATCAGTGAACAGATATGACATGGGATGTACACAGAAGACTGATTGGAACTGGCAAGGAACTGGAGGCGAGGGAAGTCACAGGTGATGATGATACTGTGATGAGATGATCCCAAGAAAGGTGACTGGAAGGGAGGATGGATTCAGCTTAGGAATGCTGAAACGCATACAGGTAAAGGCAGAAAGCTGCAAGTGGGCGAGGGGGTCTCACTGGAGACGTCAGGGTGGGTACGTCCATACTGGTGAGTGGGCCCAGTTAAGATTACTGTGGAGTAGCTGCATTTAGAAGCAGGGGAGAGGACCAAACTGGCTGAGGGGACAGAAAAGGGATGGTTATCAAGTTAGGGGGAGAAACAAAGACAGAGGCAGCTGACAGGGTGAATTTCAAGAAGGTAGAATTTGAATCTGCGGCATTGTATAGGGTGGTAGAGGATATTACCCAGAAAAGGTATTGGATTTGGGGAGCAATCCCTGCAGTCTGCTGAGGGGGAAAAGTCAGATTTCAACTGAATGGGTTAAGAAAATAGGAAAATACAAACAATCCAGGAGAATTGGGGTCTGGACTGTTCTAGCACAGGGAGGTTTAGCAACAACTTCCTCTACTGCCTGATGCCTCACTTAGGATCCAGATAAAACAGGCAACAAATTTTTGAAAACTGTGGGCTCATGAAATCCCAGAAGAATGAAGCCTGTACTCACGTCCCTAGAAGAAAATATCCCCTCTGTGACAATTTATGTGCTGCAATAAAAGATAAATTCCGAGACCTCCGGGAAACATATACCTGTACGCCACAGGTTAGTTACGACTTAACTACACATTGCTTTGAATTCATTACAGAACTCCCAGCCTTGATTTATCATGGTCGTCCCAAGCTGTTCCAGGCAAGTCTGAGAACTCCAGAACACTTTGCTAGCGCCTATGTCACATAATTTTGACATTTTTTTCCCACTCAGGTATTCTTTAAGTCATTACCTTAACTGCCCTCAGCTCTACTTGTATTATTCATTAGAGAACCTTCCCTCCTCAAAGTGTCAGTTTGCACTTTAGGGGAACAATATTTCAGGGGTTTTACATATTTAAGTATATAAAAACATATAACATAACATTATAATAAAAATATACAATAATATATAGTATATAAAATATTATATATATATATAAATATGTTATATATTTTTATTAGAATGTTGGAGAGGCAAGACCCAAATTTATGACTTTGTTACTTAATATCTATGCAGCAGATGGTAAGTGGGAAAAGGTTAATATAAGTCTCTTAGTGTTAAACCTACTGAGAAGATTACGGACCTCTGGCTCCAATGGAGATCTGGGTCCCCACTGGTCCACTCCTCTCCACCCAGGACCCCAGGGGCAGCCTCCGGCGGGCTGATGTTTTCCCGCAAGGACTCAAGAGGCTCTTTGTCTGGGGCAAGGGGCGACCCTTACCCTGCGGCTGGTCTCCAGGTCAGGTCCCGGAGCCCTCGCTAAGCTCGTAGTGTGTGGGAAGGCATGGGGCAGGTGGTTCAGGTACCAGGTCATCAGGACACCCGGGGACGGCCAGCGACACCAATGATTGACCCAGCTTGGCTCATTGTTCTGTTACCAACAGTTACCACCATCTCCTGGACTAGAAGCCAATCCCAACCGGGGAAGATTTGAAGCCAAATTCTGACCTCTGTGACGTTTGTGCATGTGGCCCTTGCAGCACCCACTACGTGGTGCCTCACACACGCTCGCGTTTCCCCTGCGCCGTGCTGTTGTGGATGCCGGAGAGAGGTGACCAGCTATGCCAGAGTTTATTTTACTGATTTGAGATATGAATATCAGAAAATTTAGGTTTCTGAAAATTAGATGGTGACCACTGGCCTCTTGTGGAGGGTCCTATGGAATTGTAGTGGAGCTTGAGGCAAAAGGAAAAAAAAATCAGTTCTGCTGACCCTGTCTTTATTTAACATGTTGACGTTTTATTCATCATGGATATTTGGCATTAATTTTGATTTTCTAAAAAAGATTATTGCATTAAGATTTATTTTGCTTAGTTTTTGGTGACACTTTACATTTTTGAACTAAGGCCAGTGCCTCACTTGCCTCATCCTGGAATCACTCCTAGGATGGAGATGGAGGTGGCAGTACCAGGGCACCCCCAGGTTCCAAGTGCACAGAAAAATGGAACATATGCTGACCTTATTGACCAAGAGTTAAGGGCATATTGTTTCAGTAGCTGAGAAGCCTTTCCTAAGGCAGAGAATGGGTAAGATGAGCCACTTATGGCCAGTCTCTTCCAATCTTGATGATCTATGTTTTTAAATTGATGTCTCCCTAAATGCTCTTGGAACCTCTAACACAGACTATCTTATGATCTTATTTATATGAGTTTGGTTCCCTTCTAGCTTAGGGAACTTTGCAAGCAGGATTCTGTCTGTGTCATCACTATCTTCTATCAGGGGATAACACAATGAATTCAATAAAGGTCGATTCAGTTGAATGAGCTGGCTTCTTGGTTCCAAATTTGAACATGAAATTTAGAATTATACATATATGGGTCAGGTTGCTTGCATCCAAAAATTCTGGTGTTAGAATACAGCATTCAAAATGTGTCACTAGAGAAATCAAACACACAATCTTTTAGTACTTCTAAAAAGTATTTGGGCCTGGTGTGTGTGGGTGGGTAAAAGTCCTCTACGTTATGTGGAGGGAGTGATCATCTGGGAACTATTGTTTAACTGGCTTTTATCGCATCAATAAAAATCAGATGAGAGGAAAAGTGCACTGAGAAAATGTATAAAACAATTTACTGGCTTTTTGTCTTCCATTTTTGCTGTTAATATATGTTACAGCACTTCAGATATAATGCATAAATATGTTACATGGAAACACAAAAATGTATACTACTTGGTCAGCTTTGTACATTACATAAACGTGAGTTTTAGAACCATATGCAAATGCTTTTAGAAAGCATTTTATAGAAGTAAATTACTAACCAAACTAATTTCTACAAAAATCACATTAAAATTTTTATCCTTGACTTACTGTTTAAATCTTTTTACTTTGCACTGATTAAGAAGAGAAAAAAACAAAAACACCCTGCTCTGTTCTTAGGAAAAGAACTCAGAAACTCATTTATTATAAGGTCTTTTTATGTGTTCCCTCTTCAAGAAAAAATCGCAAGTTAACTGATCATGAGGACTAAAATAATGCAAATTTAATTATGGGATGTGAACAATGGATGGCACTTATTGGATAAAAGGTCCTTCCTAGAAATCCTCACATTGGTGGTACAAAAGTTTTACAAAAGAAGCAACCCTAGCAGAGCGAGCAGAGAGAATTTTTACCTCCATGTGGTGGGATTATAGCCTGAGAAATCCAGCCTGAAATTTTAAAAAGTCACGTAAAATGTACATTCTTCTGCACAATCAATCTTGTTTTAATATAAAAATAAAGTGGTTCCCTCTAACTCCCCTCAAATCTTTTTCCCCCTCAAATCTTTGAGTAATATTTACACTGAAGCAAGACACCCTGTGTTTATCCTGCGGATTTGCCTCCCTGGCATGCTGCCATTGCCCGCAGGGGTACGCATACCCTAGTTGGACAGCTCTATCATATCATGTATGTGGATTTGGATAAGAAGAAAGAGTCGGTGCTCCAAGTCAGGGCATGTGGGGTTTAGTCTCAGCTATGACATTAACTAGTTGTTGGCCACCTTTGAGTCACTTAATATCTTTGGTCCTCCGTTTCTTCAACAGTGAAATTAAGAAGTTGGAAGTTTAGCTTAAAAAAATCTATTATTTAATTATACTCCCCTAGAAAGGTAGTATGTATTGTCCGGAGAGTAAAAGAGTCCTGTGGAGATGTTGACATGTAATTGTTTTTTAAAAACAATTTCCCAGGGTCAAATGTGTGAGACAAAAATTATGCATGCAATGGCTATCACTAAAGCTACATAACTTAAAAAATTATCTTCCTAATTTTGCCTAGAATAATTCCAGTGATCTGTCTGGATGTTATTTTTCTAAGTGAGTAAAAGAATATTTACAAGATAAAACCATAATTATCAACCATTTTCTACTGTGGAGAATGAGCAATATATAAGCCACAATCAAATCATTTTCTGAGATGCATAAAAAGATCTTTTTATACTATTTGATAATCAGAGCATCAACATTTTCATTTTTATTAGTTTAAGTAAAAATAACATATCATTTTAATTGACAGGTATCATTTTTTGTCTGTTTACACAAAATGAAAGTAACAATAGAATGGTGGGAATTCATGGAATTCTCCATGAGTCTTTCATGTTACTGTACATCTTTGGAGAAGAGGCACTGACTGCCTTTTTCAGGACTACCGTATTTCCCCATGTATAAGTCGCTCCCATGTATAAGACACACCTTAATTTTGGGGCCTGAAATTTGAAAAAAAAATGTATTACATAAACTTATTGAACTCAAGTTTTATTCATCATAAAATTCATACAACTCCTTATCACTGTCAAAACTCCCAGCCATTAGCTTGTCCTCATCTGTGTCTGATGATGAATCACTGTCTTCATATATTGCCTCTCATGGCTTTCTTCTCCCGTGGCGTTTTCAGTAGGGTTTCTTCTTCCTGTAGCCAGCCTCGGATTGTTTTCTCAGTTGGAGGAGGACCACACTTATGTTCAGCAACACGATTTCCATTCGCTTTTGCAAACTGGATCACTTTTAACTTGAATTCAGCACTGTATGAAAATCTTTTCTGAGTCATTTCTGGGCGGAACATGGCAAAACATAACCTACCACAATATACCTGTAACAAGTGCGAAACCATGAGCGCAAAGACAACAAACGCAAAAAAGCGGGAAATGCAAGTAAAAAAATCTACAACCACTGTATAAGACGCACCCAGTTTTTAGATCCCAAGTTTTCGAAAAAGGGTGCATCTTATATATGGGGAAATATGGTATATTTTAAAGGATATTTGTGTAGAGAACAGGCTTGGAAGGTAGAGACAGTGTCTACCTCCAGAGCAAAGGGTGGGTATTTTTTGTGTTTTGTTTTTTACTGCGCAACATAATAAAGATAATGTCTCATTCCTTTATAATAAAGGTAAGGTCAGGCAGGCTTACTGCCAATATAAAAGATTTGGGTTTCCTAAGCTCAGGGTTCCTTGCTTATAACACAACCCACTGGTTGTGGTCACATCACCTGGGCTGCTTTGCATTGCTCTCTGGGAATTGTGGCTAACTGACACTCTGGCTGTGCTGTTACTATGAGTAATAAACTGTCTTTAGTCTCTGACCCATAAGTCTCATCTCTCTGCCAGCATCTATGAAATAGAGGCTGACTGACTTTTGCTTCTGTTTGTGTATTTTTAAAAAATGGAATGCATTCATATAATTTGTTCTTTAGCTTTCATACTTTTTCTTACTATCTCATAAACCTCCATCTTACAAAGCCAGCTATTGAATGCAATCATTGCATTATGTTCCATTGCAATGTATCTTATGGTTTATTTACTCACTACTCTATTAATGGACACTTAAGTTGTCCATTTGTTTTGCTATGATACACAATGCTGTAACAAACGTCTTTGTGCTTCTGTGCTCTTGGGTTTTTATTCCATTAGCTGAAATTCCTTTATGGTATTAATGTGTCATATATAAGAGTGTCCCTTCCTCTCTAGGATGATATTAATCTTGTTGAATTTTGCCAATCTAATTGGGAAAACAGCTTTATCTCAATGCTTTCATTTGTATTTATTTAGTGAAGTTGAGCGTCTTTTCAAATGTTTATCAGTCATTTGTGGTTTTTTTCTGTGAATTACTGTTGTATAAAAATTGCTTAACTTTTAACATGCAGATGCCAATAATTGAATCCCTCTAAGCTAGATCTGTAAGGAGGTCCCAAGATAGAATTTGAAGTCACAAATGGATTGTCTCAAGTAATCTTGTAGCATCCCTAAAAGCTGTCTTCTTTTGCTCTCCTCTCCCTGGCTAATGCCTGTTGTCCTTTGGGCTGTTAAAATAAACGTCACTTTTCTATCTCCACAGTACCCCTTAACTTATCTCTAGGGTCCATACCCAGAATTCTATCATCTGATGCTCTAAGTCTTGCCATTTTTGAGTGGTGGTGGGTTCTGACCTAATAGGGGAGCCATCAGTCTCTCTCCAATCCCATGGTGCACTTCGTTATCAGGGTTCTGAAGGAAAATTGCTCACATGCAGTATTTCTCAAATTCAGTCAGGAAAGCAACCATTTCCACTTCTTCCATATACACCTGTTTTCTCTCAAAATTCACACACAATTCCCTAAACACCCACCTGTATAGAAACAGGAAATGGTTTAGGTTAGAAAATATTCCTATACTGTTTGGAACAGCTAGACAGCTCTAAACAGAATCCCAGCTTAACCAAATAATATATTTTTCCATTCTAAATCTCTTTGCTTACGTGTGACTTCACATTTTCTCCCAAGAACACTGGGCCCCTATGTCTAAGTTCTCTTCATCCCCTGAACAGCCACCCTTTGACAATCCCTTGGGCCTATGGAAGCACATGCCCA